TCTGTCCCTCTGTCTCTTTATTTTCATTCCTGAGGACTGTTTTTATAAGATGTAGAATTCCAGGTTGACTAGTTCTTTATGTTCTTTAAAAATGTTTTTTCATTTGTATCTGGCCTTCATGGATTCTATGGGAAACCAGCCGTAATTTCAATTATTGTTGTCATAGATAGTCCTTCCCCTAATGCTTTTAAAGATTTATCGTTTGTCTTTAATTTTCAGCAGTGGGATCATTTTGTGTGGGAGCAGAGTTTTTGGATTATTTTTATTTGGAATTCACATAGGTGCTTTTCTTTGTGAGTTTAGGTCTTTGGGAACTTGGGAATTCGTTAGCCCTTATATCAACTTTTTTTCTTTTAACCACTTCCGTTCTCTCCTTCAGAGAGAGTGTGGCCTTGATTTTCTTACAGATATGAGGCTTTGCTAATTTTTCAATCTTTTTTTCCTTCAGTGATTCAGATCAAATAATTTCTATTGGTTTATTTCAAGTTCATTGGCTTTTTAAAATTTCCACCCTGCTATTTAGGTCTTCTAATATGGTTTTTATTTTGATTTTTTTAGTTCGAAAATTTGTTTGATTTTTATAACTCATATTTCTTTTTGTTTAATTTTAACTTTTGCTTCTGGAATGTTTACAAGTGATGTGCTCAGTTATTGGATTTTTGTATTAGCTACCTTAGATTCTTTTTCAGATAGTTTTGACTCCTTTGCCATTTAACAACTCTTTTTCTCATGCAAGTTGAGATTGAGAGGGCATTTTCATTTTTTATGTTTGTTTTTGTTGTTTATTTTTCTATTTCAGGTAATTTTTAAATTTTGTTTTGGACATTTTGAATATTATCTTAAGAGATTCTGTGTCTTACTGACATTCTGTTGATGTTTCAGCACACAGTTTACCTTGTTAGGTTCAGGGCACTCACCTTCTGTGAGCTGAGTTCCAGTATCCGTCCAAATTTGCGCTTTCCATACTCTCCTAGCAGTCAGCCTAGAATTTGGGTGGACTTTTTTTCTTCAGCTTATGTCTCAAGGCTTTGGCATGGTAGTGAGGATCAGATTCATTCCTGTACTGGTCAGCTTTGCAGATGGCTTTTCCTCACACGAGGTGCAGCACTGTGGCCTGACCTGGTGTTGCTTTCCTAAGATCTTCACGCTCTACTATTTCTCTTCCTTTTCTGGATTTTTTTGGTTTTTCTTTTTGATCCTTTAGGTACGAACCTGTGAGTTTTGTTATTAATTCAGTGTCAGGAACTGAGAAAAACAGGGTTTAGTGTTTTCCCTGGGGTTCCCCAAGTGGAGAGGTGAGTAAGCTTCTCTTCCCTTATAGTTTGAGCTACTATTCTTTCTTCTTGCCAGCAGTTTCTCTATTGCTAATGCCTTTCTTGTAAGGTTGCCTGTGGGGCTAAACATTTAGAAATAGTTAAAGAAACAACAGATTTCCCTGTTTCTAAACTCTTTGGAGTTTTCTCCAGCTGGATAAAAAATTTTTCCTGTGTCATTGTATGTACCACAGTGTTCTCTACTGGGATTGAGGCTTGCTATGGTTTATAGCTGGATGTCCTCCACGCCTCATGCACTCAGAGGTGCGGCGTGTGGTGACTGTACTGTGGCAGCTGGCTTAGTGTTAAGAGTGGTCACAGGAGGCCAGTCATGCTGGCCAGACCTGGCAGGGTTGTCTGCCTCCTTGGCTCCACCCTTACTCTCTTTCTACTTCCTGGACATAGGAAAGTGCACAGCTTTTCCTCTGCTATGCCCCTCTGCCACGCTATTCTGCCCTGGAGCTGGCTGACCATGGACTATAGCCCTGAGGCAGAGTATTGTTTTCCTCTAAGTTGTAGGTTTTGGGTATTGTGTTTCAACAAGAAAATAGCTAAAATGAGGTCACGATGGATTCAGGCTGGGGCCTCCAAGAGTAAACTAAAATGGCAAACTTAACGACCATTTCAGTAGTGGGTTGAATTCTGATATTTTGAGGTTGAACAGTTGTGCTGTGTATTCTGTCCATATTTTACAGTTGCCTTCCTGTGGAGAGAAAAGCGCGTTCACTGTAAATTACACAGAAGTAGAACTGCGCTCTTCCTTGAATGCCAGGTGAAATTTTTTTTGCCTTGAAGTCAGTGTGGCAGTAGTGAGGAGTAATTGTTTTAATCGCCACATTTTATAGATTATACTATTGAAAAATTGAGGAATGGCTTAGTAAATTGAGCTACATTTTTTGTCCTCTAAATTTCAGTAAATTCTTAACTCTTAGGTTCTGGTTTCTTGTGAATGGAACCCACTTTCTTTCTTTTTTTCATTTCTTTTGCCATTGCATTGGTTCAGAGTTTCCTAATTTTCATCCGGACTGTTATAATAATCTAATATTATATGAAGAGGCATATACAATCCTACTTGCAAATTCTCTCTACCCCACTCCCAATCTTATAGATACATTTAGTATTCTAACATTTGGGTGTCTCTTTAAAACACAGATCTGATAGATAACATGGTTGTTCTTCTGTCTTCTATTTCTATGCTGAAAGAAACTGTCAATGAGTCTTTGGTTGACCAGTATTGCATGTCTATATCTGTTTTCATGAGAAGCCACTTTGAAGATATCAATATGTAATACAACCACCATTGTTAATTCCCTACCACTTTGTTTGTAACTCTATATTGTCTGTATTGTGCTTGTGATATGTTGTAAAATGTTGTATGTCTGTTAATGTTTCCCTCCTTTTATCTTTAAAATAAAAAAATAAATAAATAAAACACAGATCTGATCAAATTGTTTCTGTTCTGAAAGTCATTTAATATAATATCCAAATTTGAGGTTAGCGTCTGTACTTATTTCTAGATGTTCCAGAGAATGGCTCAATTATGGGAGTTATTAAAGTGAATTCTTAGATGACTGAAATAACCTTCTTGTTTCCACTCTTGTCCAGCAGTTTCTCATCTAGAAGCCAGAATACTCCATTTCAAACATAAATATAGGTCTCATTTTCTCATTTAGAACAATCTAATATCTGTCATTATGCTTAGATGATATCTAAAATCTTTACTATGCCTTATGAGACCCAGCATGAGCTCTCAGAACTCTGCCCTCCAGCCTTTACTCTACTCCAACCACATTGGCATGGCTGTTTTTTCTCAGAAGTATCCAAGATCTCACACTTAATTCTCTGGCTTAAGATACTTTCATTGTCTGTTGAGGAAGAACTTTCGTATATGCTTGCATGTGTACATGTATGTGAGCATACATACACACATATCTCCTCTTCCTTTATTTTAATGTTCTGAAATGTCACATTTCAAAAGGAATACTCTTCAAAAATAACCTGGTCTATTTCGTGTCTGCAAAATCACTTTCCATTCTCTCATGCAGGCTTCTTTTTCAAAGTCTTCATTACTTCCTACTTATCTACCTTCCTGATTTTCTGCTTGTTTTTCTCTGTACCATCTGTCTCCCATTAATGGATGTATGTTCCAGGACGTTAAGGACTTGCCTAGAGTATTATATTACATAACCCTTATGACTAGATGGATGACTGACAGCAGAGTTTGCTAAATGTTTAGCGAAGGATGAATAGAAAAAAGAATAGATACACTTTTCTTTCTTTAGACTCAGCTTCTTGGAAGTGGTTTTGGCTTTTGCTTTCCCATTGCACATTACGTTTTATATCAGTCATGAACACGATATACAGTACTTGATATATGTAAAATTTGCCTCTGCTACAAGTAATAGTCTTAAGTAATATACTAATAACTATTGTGATTAGTAATTTGTAACAAACCTTGGGCATAAACTCAATGTTATATAAACTAAACCTTTTTTTCGAAGTTTATTTTGTGGTTTACCATTACAAATAAGATTTGTTTCAGTGATCTGGTATTTAAGCTCTATTTATCTAATGTTGGAGTAGTGTTGCAGTAGTGTTTTAAACATTATGAACCAGGTGTGCTAGTGCATGCCTGTAATCCCAGCACTTCGGAGGCTGAGGCAGGAAGATTGCTGTGCGTTCAAGGCCAGCCTGGGCTACAAAGTGAGTTCAGGACCAACCTGAATTGCATAGTGAGACCCTGTGTCAAAAAGACCAAAAAAATATATATATATATTATGTAAGGTCTCAAGTATACTAACAGTTGAATTATGCTTAAGAAATGACTGTTTCATATGACATCAAATCTCATATAGTGTACAAATCTAAGCAGCGCCATTTGTGTTTTATGCCACCTGCTCTCTTCAGATGTGCAGCACTGCACCAGCACAGCTCCACCCCTTTTATTCTTCCTGATCCATTTCCTCTCTCTCCTTAAGAGATCCCACTGAGGTAACGCCCATCCCACATTTGGTGTTTATCACTGACATGTTTTATGACATTCACTAGTAGTATCTTTGCATAAATCGTATACAGAGTTACTCTCTTTTGCAACTTGCTATTTTTGCCAGGATTTCACTTTTGAGCTTTATTCATTTGTTTATACCTAATTCATTTTACATGCTAGATAATATTCCATTCTGAATGCATACCAATTTATTCTTGCTCATGTTGATGGACATTTGGGTTATTTATAAATTTGTGTTAGTAGAAGCAGTGTTACAGTACAGATTTTTATACATGGCTTCTGTTTGTGCACGTGCATGAATTTCTGTAGGCTTCATAACAAATAATGGATTTGCTAGGTTGCTGTATAAGGACATATTCAACTTTAATAAACATTGTCAGATTGCTCTTCATGTGGTTGTAGAAAAATGTGCATGTCTGCAGTATATATGAGTTTCCTTTAGTTCACAAACTTAGTTTTGTTCTTAGACTTTTTACTTTTGCAATTTTAAAGTGTGTGAATTGGTATCTCAATTTTGAAATAGATACTAAAAATGTTTTATGAAGTAATTAAGTGGTACTAATTCAGTTGAATAGATAAATATCCCTTAAAATAACATTTATTTTTCTTTTTATTTTTGACTAATGTATGCATTTCTTCTTTATTTTCTTTGATTGATTATGGGTTATTTATTTTGCTAGATCTAGTTGAAGAAGTATATTTTGCACAGAGGGAACGTGATGAAGCTCTTATGGCTAGACTGCAGTTAGCCATCACGGAGAGAGATGAAGCAATTGCACGGGCCAAGCATATGGAAATGTCTGTAAAAATGTACGTATACAATGAATGTAAAAACGTGATATTAGGAGCATTTATAAATTGTGTGCATTTTGTGGTTATATATTTAAACATGTTACTTTTGTGGTTATATATTTTGTGGTTATATATTTAAACATGTTACTATTTGGTGTGTTAGGAAATTGCATAACCCCAAAACTTTTGTCTAAAAACCCTTGGCATGCTAGTAATTTACCTGTCAGTGGTAACAGTCACTTAAAAAAGGAAAGAGAAGGGGACAGGAAGGGAAGAAAGTGGAAGGGAGGGAAGGAGAATCACTCAATACAGTTACTTTACTTCCTCATAGCTCTGTTGTTAGTGTCCTTGCCTTCCTATGTGACTGTTTTCATCTCCTCTCCTCAGTAGCCATTTCTTGACTTCAGCTCTATGGTACTTTCTCTGCTTTCTGCTTCCCCATTCCTGTTTATAGAACACTGCTGCAGAACACTAGAATTTATTTCATGTATCTGATACCTGCTTCCAAATTCCCTTGATCCCTACTACCCTTCCTAGCGTTTGGTAATCATCCTTGTATTCCCTTCTTTTATATCAATTCTTTTCACCTCCTCAGGTAAATAAGAATTTGCAGTATTTGTTTCTTAGTGACTGGTTTATTTCCCTTTACATAGTGTCCTTCAGTGTCATCCATTTTGCTACAAATGACAGGCTTTCCCCCTCTGCGCTCCTCTCCTGCTTTCCCTTACCCTCTTCTCCTTCTTTCCTTCCTTCCCTTTTTTTCTTTGACTGTGTTATAGTTTTAATCTTGAATGTCTGCCAAAGGCATATGTGTTGCAGCTTGGTTACCAGCCAGCCCGTGGCACTATGAAGAGACACTGGAACCTGCAGAGGTGGGACCTAGGGAGGAAGTAGTTCATATAGGTCACACCCCTGAAAGGGATGTCGGGACCCCAGCCCTTTCCTCTCTCTGTCTTTTGCTTCCCAGTCGCCTTAAGGTGAGCAGGTTCCTCTACCATATACTACCTGCAAGTGCTATATGTTACTTTAACTTGAGTAGTAGTTAAAACTAGAGAAAATCTTGAACCACAGAATATTTTCTCTCAATTAGAAATATTAATTCCCTGAGGATCCTTCTAATTTTAGGGAAAGAAACTGAAAAATATTAAGGTATTAAAAGTTAGGGGCTGGGGATATAACTCAGCAGCACAGCGCTTCCCTGGCAAGTGCAAGGTTGTGAGTTTAATTCCTGGTACCAAAAAAAAAAAGCAGCAAAATTTCCTCATGCATTATTTGCATTATTTCAATTAAATGGTATCATTTGACTAACAGATAAAGACTTTAAAACTTTAAAAAATTGACAGTACTCAAATACATTTGTAAAATTAGTTTCTATAGCCAAAATGCCCTCTGTTGTTTAATCATACTTCTATATTAAAAATAATTGAATTACTGAAACCTTGATCATAAATGACATTTTTATGCCCAGGTTTTTATTATGTGGAATCCCTCAGTTTGATTTTTATTTTCAAAAAGAGTTTTCCTTTCACTTCATTCTTTTGTTTTAGCATCTTTTTGTGAATTTTCTTTTATTGGATGCATGTTCTTATGTACACTTTTTTTTTTTTTTTTTTTTGTACCGGGAATCAAACTCAGGACCTTGCTCTTACCAGGCAGGTGCTTGTGCTGCTGAGCTGTACCTCGGCCCTATGTACACTATTAAATGCAAACCACTAGTGGAAAAATTATCTTCATTTCCTCCTAAGTCTGTCTCTATGCCTCTAACAGAGTAACAGACACTAGGGTGTGTGTGTGTGTGTGTGGTGTGTGTGTGTGTGCTGGGAATTGAATCCAGAGCCTTGCACATGCTAGGCAAGCACTCCGCTGCCAAGCTACACTCCTAGCCCTTTTTCCTTTATTTAGTTTGAGATAGGGTCTTCTTAAGTTGCCAGGCTCGCTTCAAACTTAGAATCCTCCTACCTCAGCCTCTCTAGTAATTAGAATTACAGGCCTATAACACCATGCCTAGCTGTGACTGTGTGATTTGAAATGAACAGGAATTTATTAGTTATTTGGTTCTGGAACTTGGAAAGTGCAAGATAAAAAGGCCAACATTTGGCAAGGACCTTATTGATATGTACATGATTACGTGGAGGAAGGTAGGACAAGAAGAGGCAATGTTAAAGTAGAGCCCTCATGGCCTGATCATGCTTGAGGAGTCACATAGCTCAGTACTGTGACAGTAACATTTCAATATGAATTTTGGAGGGGGGGAAACATTCAAACTGTAGCACCTGGGTTTTTATTTTATTTTTTACCCTGAGCTTGTCTTTTTTGCATGATGATTGCAGTTCCATATCATTTGATCTTGTGCAAGATAACAACAAACAATTCTGTCAGAAATTTATCTTTATGCAAGTGCAGTGGTGCTTGCCTGTGATCTCAGTGCTCAGGAGATGGAGGCAGGAAGATCACTGTGAGTTTGAGGCTAGCCTGGGCTATGTAGTGAGTGCAAGGCCAGCCTGAACTATGTAGTGAGACTCTATCTTTAAAAAACAAAACAAAACAAACAAAACAAATCAAAACAACCACAAAACTTACGTTGTTCTGGTATGGTATGTATGAATTTTGTTTGATAAATATTTCATAATATTTACAACTTACTTACATCCTCTGAAGTGCAGTTTCTTGGCTAAATAGTGTTCTCTTGCTTCCTTTATATGTAATCTTTGGTTACTGCAGTGGAGATGAAAGTTAAGAAGAATCCCTTGAGACTACATGCCCCTGTTGTTGGAGATTCTGAGTTTTACTTAGGAGACTTTGTTTGATATTGTGCGTAGAAGGCTTGTGCTCTCTGATCTTATCTATCTTTACATCATGAGATATTACTTTTGGGTTTTTTTTTCACCATGGTAGTAAAAAAAAAAAAAATGGCCATTCCTGATGATACGCCTGTCCTTTATACAGATTCTTCAATAATGTAGACTTCTACTCAGGAGGATTTCATTTATTTTTCTGGTCTACCTGCTTCTTTCTGAGATTATTTCCAAACTGTGTGATATTAGTAAGAAGTTCTTAGGCTCTTGTTAGGTCATTGTCTTTTTCAAGGACCTGTTTTCATAGGAAAAAGTTAGGTGAGTCTGTCCAAAATCATCTCTCCACCTTCTACATAGTCCTAGTTTTAATAATTACTATATGGTATCCTCCTTCCCCTTTTTTTTTTACTTTATTTTTTTTTTGTTATTTTTTCCGGTACAAGGAATTGAACACACTATCTTGCACTTGCCAGGCAGGCGCTGTGCCTCTGAGCTAAATCCCCAGCCCCTCCTCCTTCCTTCTTTATTTGACTAGTTTTTATTTTCTGTTCATGAGGTTACATGATAGGATAAAGAGATTTACATTTTCAGACTTCAGTGTGCCATCTTTACTTGGACATCAACCTTTTAAATTAACTTCTTATTCTAGAATCATTTTAGATCTCCAGAAAAGAGTGAAGAGCATGGTATGAACTTCATATGGTTCCCCATATTGTTATTGTTTTTCATTGCTGTGGTACTTTTGTCATAGGATAGAATATAAACATTGTCACATAATTATTAACTGAACTTCACACTTTGTTCAGGTGTCAGTAATTTTTCCCCGTAGTTCTTTTTGTTTCTGTTTTAATTACATTCAATTGTTGTGTCTCCCTGGCCTGCTGTCACCTGTGACATTGTCTCAGACTTCCTTGATTTTGATGATCTTGATGGCTTTGAGGAGTACTACATAATCAGATACTTTGTATAATTTGGGCTTTTCTGACTACTCATGATTAAGCTGGAATTACCGATTTTAAGGATGAAGATCTCAGGAATGCCATTCTCATCACATCATTTCAAGGTTATATTCTATCAGTGTGATTTACCACCATAATACTTACCTGATCAAGGTCAATGTTCCATGTTTCTCCACTATAAAAGTATTTCTATTCCATTTCTCACACTTCACTTCCTATAAGCAAATTGCTAAGGGCAGTGTATACTCAAGAATGTGAGCTTCACCTCTCTATAATTTGGATCTTGAATATTTGAAGGCCCATGTTAAAGGCTTAAGCCTCAGGGTGGTGTCATCATGGGATGTAATGGAATCTTCAAGAGGTAGAAATTAACGGCAGATCTTGACGTCATTTGGGGGCATGACCTTGAAGAGGATAGTGGGATTCTGACCCCTTCATCTTGCTCTCAGTTGTTTCCTGGCCACAAGGTACAGTCGTACCTGGGTTGACAAATGCTTTTGTTTGCAAATAATTTAGTTTGCAAACAGAAGCATTTGACAAAATTTTTTATTTTGTTTGCAAACTCTGCATCAGGTGAAAAATACCATTGTGGCCATCTTTCCCACACAAACACAAACATAGCCATCTTTTAAAATCATAGGACAAATTAAGTTCATGAACCAAATATACCACTGTAAATGAGTTTGTTCTACTAGGTGCTTCTGCCATGATATATGGTCTTACCATGGGCCAGGCCCTAAATTATGGGGCCAACCAGTGATGGGCTGAAACAGTGTGAGCCAAACTATATCTTTTTTCTATATAAATTGATTATCATAGGTATTTGTTATAGTAATGCAAAGCTGACTAGCATAACCTATAGGAAAAAATATTTTGCATTTAAATATTTGTAATTCTTTGGAATAGGGGATCTCTTTTTTATATCCATACTGTCTCAAGGGCACTGCTTTAATACTTCACTTTATAATCTGATACTATATCAGTTTTTTGGTTTGAATTGTTTCAACTTTGGTTGAAAGCTCCTTCAGTTTATCTGCTCTATAACTTTATCATGTCTCTGTCCTTTAAATTTTTGAATACTTATTTTTTTCTGGCTATGATGGGCAAATTCTCATGTGCTCATATGCAGGGCCCCATAGTAAATTCAACCACTAATGAGTTTGGTGTGTGGGTCTGCTAGGAGGTATGACCCCTGTTGAGGGCAGGCTACTAGGGGTATAACCTGGAAGTGTATGTCTCCCTGCTTGGCTTCTTCTTTCTCTCT